TGGTCTCAAAAAGTCATTAATTTTGATGCAAAGGTGTGTACCCATAAACATTTGAAGATAAACCCATCATGATTAATGCACAAAGATGGGTGAACCTCATAAACTTTTGTGTTTGTATGAATGAATGAGAAGGAAAGAAAGAAAGATATGGAGTGTGTTCCAAGACACAATGATTACATGGTCTCAACGAAGCCGAAAGGGTTGGCGTGGACATGGCTAAGAGCATGGAACAACAAGGTGGGGGCCTAAACCATGGCTCATGCCAATAGGGGAACCCAAAAAGGAAACATAATTTTTTTTTTTTTTTTTGTTCTTTTTCTGTTTGTTTTTAAAGAAGTGTTCATGTGATTCAATAATCCCAACAATTCCAACTATCTGACCAAAACTATAAAAGTTGGGTTGAGTTAGATTTCCTTTTTTATTTTGGACTGGATTTAATTTTCGAAAAATAAAAAATTTAGACTGCTTCACAAATCAATATGACTTGTCCACCCAAAAATATATGGAGGTTAATAATGCATCGTGAATATATTTGATATTTTAATTTTATAATATTCCTTTTAAATGTAATAATATCAATTTGTAATTATGATTAAAAAAAATAGATAAAGAGAGAGAAAAAAAAATAAATATAGATAAACAAACTAAAAATAAAAATAAAAACGAATAAAGGGAAAGGAAAAAAAAAATGTTTTAGCCAAAGCCAAGCTTTTTACTAGAATGAACTTTTTGTGTTTTTTTTGTCATTGTTTGGTTGAGAAGCAATGTTTTTGTATGTTCGCTTTCTTTTAAAATGTGCTATTGTTTTTCTCAATCACATCATAAAGATCAATTAGATTATACTTATACGTCAAAACATAACGGCAATATACAATGAGTTAAAGTAGATAATATCTATTAACAGTAAATGTTGAGTTCCAAAGAGGTAGATTGTGAGATCCAATATCAGTGGGAGAGGGAAACAAAACATTCCATTTAAGGATGCATAAATTTCTCTTTTGTAGATGCGTTTTAAAACTATAAGACCGATGAATATAAATAATAGGTAGTAATGCATATTATAAAGTATAAATTAAATGGGGTTTATTCTTTTTGTCGTATGAATATAATAATGTGAGTTGTTTTTAATAATTATAATATCAAAGATCTCATCTCCCATCCTACAAAAGGTACAGAGAATGGACAAAGAATAATGGCGTAAGAAGAAAGTAAAGCAGAGAGAGAGAGAGATCTATATATTGGAATGGTGGTGGGAGAGATTTGCAGAGAGAGATATAGATGACTGAGAGAAAATAAAAGGATTATCAGAAGAGAATACAAAAGGGAACCAAAAAGACCCAAAATCAAAGCTAAGATTTTGATCAAAAGGAATACAAACCTTTTATACTTCTGATATGCGTGGGGAAGATCAGGAAGAGGAACATCATCAGCAACAACAGGAGTGTTCACAAACAATTGAGAATATGTTTCAACAACAGCTTCTTCTCCACCAACACCTACAAAACAACAACAACCACGACAACAACGGAGACCATCATCATGGAACTGGAAGAGGGTTAATTTTTCCACCCGAACTCGTGTCGCCGGTTCTCCAGCCGTGGTCGTCGCTTAACCCTTTTATGATCCCTCCCCCACCATCGTTACCATGTTCATCATCATCATCCTATGGTGGTTTGTTTAACCGGAGGCCACCTAATTGTCTTCAGTTTGCTTATGATGGTTCCTCTTCCACGGACCACCTAGGTCAGATCATATCCACCACGCTTGGACCCGTGGTTCATCCTGGTTCCATGGCTCCCTTTGGGCTACAAGCTGAGCTTGGCAAAATGAGTGCGCAAGAAATTATGGATGCTAAAGCTCTTGCAGCTTCTAAAAGCCATAGTGAAGCTGAGAGGAGGAGAAGAGAAAGAATCAACAACCATCTCGCTAAGCTCAGGAGCTTACTCCCTAATACCACTAAAGTAAGCATTTTTATATACAAATCCCAATTCCCATTAATCTAACTTCGCATATATATGCTTTCACGTATTATATTGATTTTCACATACCCTTTGGTTTCTTTGTTTTTATATTCCTACTCTCTTGCATTGTTCTTTTGGATCAAGTTTCAATCTTTGAACATATACAATACAAAGCTTAGTTAGGCTTTTAAAATATCAAGTTTTTTGCCTCTCCTTGATGTTTTTTTTTTTTTTTTTTTTTTTTTTCTTTCCTTGAAGAGGGTTAGTTCAACAAATATAGGACAGGTGATCAACTTTTAATGTGAGATTCCACATTGGTTAGAGAGGGGAACGAAACATTTCTTTATAAGTGTATGGAAACTTCTCCCTAATAGACAAATTTTAAAACTGTGAGACTGACGGTATATGTAACGGGCTGAAGTGGACACTGTTTACTAGCGGTAGGCTTGAGCTCTTACAAATGATATCAAAGTTAGACACCAAGTGATGTGACAACGAGGACAGTGGTTCTCAAGGGGGGTGGATTGTGAGATCCAACATCGTTTGGAGAAGGGAACAAAACATTTCTTATAAAAGTGTGGAAACCTCTCCATAGTAGACTCGTTTAAAAACCATGAGACCCGTGAGACTGACGGTGATACATAACAGGCTGAAGTGGACACTGTTTACTAGCGGTAGGCTTGGGTTCTTACAAATGATATCAAAGTTAGACACCACGCGGTGTGCAACGAGGACACTGGTCCTCAAGAAGGGTGGATTGTGAGATCCAACATCGTTTAGAGAAGGGAACAAAACATTTCTTATAAAAGTGTGGAAACCTCTCCATAGTAGACTCGTTTAAAAACCATGAGACTGACAACGATAATATAACAAGCTGAAGCAAACAAAAACTACTAGCCGTAAACTTGGGCTGTTACAAATGGGATCAGAGTCAGACACCCGGTAGTGTGCTAGAAAGGACACTGGCTCTCAAGGGGGTGGATTGTGGGATCCCACATTGGTTTGAGAGGTGAACGAAACATTCTTATAATGGTGTGGAAACCTCTCCCTAGTAGACACGTTTCAAAACCGTGAGACAGATGGTGATACGTAACGGGCGGAATTGGACAATATTTATTAGCGGTGGACTTTGAGTTTTACATTAAAAAAAATGATAGGTGTCTTTAACAACAGAGGTTTGATATTGATAAGCTTTCTATTTCTCGTGAATAAAAGAAGTTACACCAAAACGGTAGAATTAGGGTTAATACTTACGTAGTTTTGGTTGAGTTTTATACGTATATACACACAGACGGACAAAGCTTCACTGCTAGCCGAAGTAATACAACACGTGAAAGAGCTAAAACGGCAGACATCATTGATAGCTGAAACAAGTCCAATCCCAACAGAAGTTGACGAGGTAACAGTGGACGATGCCTCAGAGGAGATGATGATAAGTGGAGCCAAATTTGTAATAAAGGCTTCCCTTTGCTGCGAGGACCGCTCTGATCTCCTCCCTGACCTCATCAAAGCCCTCAAATCCTTGCGTTTAAGAACCCTCAAAGCTGAAATCACAACGCTTGGTGGGCGTGTAAAAAATGTGTTGTTTATCACTGCTGAAGAAGAGCAACAACATGATCCCGAACAGCAACACAATATGAGCTCTATTCAAGAAGCACTCAAAGCTGTGATGGAAAGAACAGGAGGGGATGATTCTTCTTCAGCAAATATCAAAAGACTAAGGACCACAAATAACATCAATATCCTTTGATTTATGGGCTTTTTTTTTTATGAGTGGTAGTGAAGTTAAAAGAAAAACCCTAATGAGGCATGGCTCCCTTTTTTAAAAATGGATATCCACTTGCTTGGTTTCAACCACGTTTTGTTACCTTTCATATACAACTTTGTATCCACAAAATGGAATTTCAGCTTTCTTGATATCATCTTGGTCATGTTGGATGAGAGTCTCACGTCTGCTAATTTAGCGAATACTATCTCCATTCAGATGAGGCATCTTGGGAAGCTCAAAGTATAGCCACGAGAGCTTATGCTCAAAATGAACAATGTCGTATCATTGTGGAGAGTCGTGTTCATCTAACAGGTCAAACATAAAGTATTGGTAAAGCCTAAACATTATAACTCGTACCCAAATGCCATAACCAAAATACTATGATACTAATTGTTGTAGGGGAAGTATAAGAGGAAGCTAGATCGATTGTACTCACACACCCACGAATGGAAATTAAACAATGAGACAGATTTACGTGGTTCAGAAATAAAAAATTCTCTTATGTCCACTAGTGGTAGCCAATTACTATAACCGAAGTGTTTACAAATTTATCTTTCACACTTTCACATTATAACGTTTCACTCACAAAGTTCCTCCTAATTGCCTCTAGGCAAATACATGACAAAATAATGCTAGATAGAACTTTATATAAGTGTAACAATACTAATTTTCATACATAAATCAAGATGATCCATGTATCAAATGAGAATATGAACCGAAAGAGTGAATACTCCTTTTATAGCCTTACAAATAAACTGACCACAGCTGGTAAAGTAAACAAATCTTTAAACAAAAAAATATTTAAACTAATCCTTAAAAATACTCTAACTACTTTCAACTCAAGCGGGTACATAAAATACTAGAAGTGTTGACTGAGACATGATTTATTTGAGCTTATCTTGTCAACATTTAACTCAATTTTCTTATTTTATTTTTCTTAATTTAAGAGAAAATTCTTAGAAATGGGTTAATAAATCGGGCGGGTCCAATAATGAAGGTGAGATGAACATAATCCAACGAATCAAGCGGTGATAGCGGACTTCATAAACGCACAGTTCAAAGTGGAAGGCCACGTCGGATACAAAATGCAAAAATCTTATAACGTTTCCAGCTTTTATCATCAACGCATAACCACAAACTCTCCCACTCGCTCTCACCCGCTCTCTTCTCTCATCGTCGATTAAGATTTTCAAAGAGCGTTCTCTGTACGCGCCGTATAGCGCGTGATTGTGGCTTATAATCCCTCTTGTATAAAACCACGGAATTCTGATCTGCCTTTCTTTTTTAACTTGCGCTTTCGGTTACCGTCGTTCGAAGGCTTTGCTCTCTCTAGGGTATTAGCATAATTCTCTCGAATCCGGCGTCGGACCTGCTGCTGTGGTCTTGCATCTTCGCGAAGGCCGCGATCGATTTCTGAAGATGAAGATTTTTGTCAAGACTCTCAAGGGCTCGCACTTCGAAATCGAAGTTCAGCCTGAAGATATGGTCAGTTTACTTTCTTTATCGGTTTCAGTTTTGTTTTTCATTTAAATCGTTCGCATTAAGATTTTGACTCGGAATCGAGGCTCTTTAACTACGTTTTGGATTCCGGTTTGTGCTTATTACTTCCAATTGAAATGTAATTAGGGTTTGTGCGATGGTAGTTCGTTGTTTTAGTTGTTGAATTGGTGCTTGTTGTGCGATCGAATTGAATTGCGATTTGGAATTTGCATCTTGCTCGTCGTGGTTACTGCACTAATTCTGTAACGTTTCTTTTGTTATTTTTTCCTAGTATAACATTAAGTAGTTCTTTTTTTGTTTTATTGTTTCCATTATTTGTAGCTACTGGACGTGTATATTGGTATGCGTTGTCATTAGCATTAAGTTGCGTAGTTAATCTAATACTTGCGTACTTACTTACAATTAACTTCACAACTGATGTCATCGTTTCCTATGGGGACTTGGACCAGAAGTGATCACGCTGCTCGTACTTTGAGAATGATGTATTAAATTCGAAACAATAAGAAAGACAAAGACGGCAGGTCTTAAGACCGATTGAATGAGTGATTAGAGAAGCTTTGAATGGATAAGAATTATTTCATTTGTAACCCAAATATTCAGTAAGGAAAGGAAGGATAAGGCACCAATTCCTACATAACAATAAGAAAGGTAAAAAAACAACCAATCGTTTATTTAAACAAGGAGCATCATTTAGAAGGCTTGATAACGCTAAGATCCATAAAGTTAAATACACTTTTAGACTTACTCACATACTATTCCTGTAAGTCGTGTATAAACATAATGTTCTTGTAATTCTAAAGAAATATACTAATACTGTGAGCTAGACGTCTCACTGCTTTTTCTTGATCCAATCAACGTCCATACTCACCTATTCCTCTAGATTCTGGAACAATTAAGTATGTGACCAAATTAATGATTCACCTAATTATTTTTTCTCCCTTGGTTTTTCAGCGACATTAGACTTCGAGTGATGAAATTATATGTGGCCCAGCAATATATCATCTCTACTGTAGTTTTCCATTGAACTGATCCTTTCAGCTTCACGTTGTGAAGCGATGCAATTCCCATTATAGAATTGCAAGAAACCTTAGCCCCTCCCTTATAAGCAGATGCATCGTAGTATCACATTTGTGCCTGATTCATCTCCTCCTCTTTGCATTCTTGTGGAACTACTTAATATTTTCAAGTATTTGTTTTGCATATGTTCCTAAAGGTTGTAGGTGAAGTTCTCTTTCCACTTGAAAGAAAACCCTTCTTTGTAATTTAGCATCTAGCAATCTCTTGGATGAGGAATTTTCTATGTAATTTGGACCTTGTCAAACCATTTTCATTCAACCTTCTCCTTTGTGTTCAATATAGTGGGGTTCTACATATTAGGTATGTATGGGAGTCATGAGTAATGACAACCTTTGTGAATGCCCACAAGTTCCACCCATGATTTCCTGTCTTGTACAGGAAGATAATTCTTAATCCTCTGCCATTTCTTCATTCTGTCGGGTTAAGCATTTATATCTTTGCCCTAATCTTGTGTTTCAACCTCTCCCCATTCCAAAGTGCTTTCCTATACCACACAAGTTATAACTATTTAGGAAGCAATTAGGTGTTCTAATTGCTTTTAACCGTCTCTAAGGATTCTGTCATGCACAAGAGCCAATAACTTCTCGTGCAACATGCACTCTTGTAGCTTCTAATCATGATCGAAATTTGACCTTGATCACACTTGTAGCTGGCTTTTAGTCCATTTTCCTACTGTTGTTATTCTACGTGGCTTTTAGGTGCATGGTGATTACACTATTGTAAGTCATTTCTCTAATTTTCTCCTCAGATTCTCAAGATAGAGCCGATTCTAAAAATTAGGTCTAAATCAAGTAATAGTAGTTTTATATGAAGGGGCTGCATTGAGCCTATGTAAGGATATCACTTTTTATTTTTTCTTCCTTTTTTTGAAGCTACTTCCAAAATATGTGGCCTGTCACTTTCACTTGCTGCCAATCCGATTAGGTCAGAGGCACAATCAAATTAGATGTGTTGGCCATGAATGTTGATTTTTTATTTTTTATTTTTTTGGAATTCTGAAATGCTTGGAAGTCACCCCTGATAAAATATCATCATGGAATTCAGCGATGATGCTAATTAATTTAATAGCCAAAATGTAATACGTCAAAATTTAAATATTTAATTGATAACTGAAGTGTATAAATATATACTATCATTTTTCTTTATCCTTTTTTTTTTTTTTTTTTTTTTTTTTGT